AGCTCTTTCTTCGGTCAAGATGGCACGGTTGTTGGCTGGGGATTTAAAGCTGACCCTGAGAAAGGTAACATAACTATTTATTTACTTTACCTCTACTTCCAGTGGCCATCACGATGTGCCAAGAGAATATTCCATTTACGTTTTGTACACTTGCAAGAAAGTGAACTAACTTACTGTTATAAATACTGTAAATGATTAACACATCTTGTGGGCCAAAAGAATCAATGTTAGGATCATTATGGTAATAAGAACTCATCACGTACATGAAATGGAAGCATACTTTTTGAAGGTCATAAAATCCCATCATGTACATGAAATGGGAACATGCCATTTGAAGGTAATAAGAACCCATCATGTACATGAAATGGGAACATGCCCTTTGAAGGTAATAAGAACCCATCATGTACATGAAATGGGAACATGCCCTTTGAAGGTAATAAGAACCCATCATGTACATGAAATGGGAACATGCCCTTTGAAGGTAATAAGAACCCATCATGTACATGAAATGGGAGCATGCCTTTACTGGTAGGAACTGTTGATTTTAGTTTACACGTTATTTTGTTGTTGTTTTTTTATGAAAAACAGTTTTCATCTCTAAGTACACATTTCATAGAAATATTTGATATTCTTTGATGTTGGACAATATTTTCAACTTAAAAGAAAACTTTTGTGGATGGGTGAAAGCAGTGTGAAAAACATGATTATAATGTACTCCCTAATTATTTTGTTTAAGAGAGTTTAATATATTCTGTATAAAAAAGTTGTATATCCATAGGAGAATTCTTTTATTTCTCTTTCCTTGTTGTACAATGGGTTATCTGCTGCTGTGCTCTCCGCTAGGATCGCATCCCGAATGTTATCATTATGAAGCCCCAAACTTATTGCTGAGCTACCGAGGGGAGCATATTATACTATTTTTTAGGAATTGTTTTTGTTTGTTTTTGCTTCACCAAAATTGTGAATTTCGGTAAGTCCATTCTTGGATTCACCAAATGTATAGCTGAGTTTCGGAGAATTCCACCCCTCATCAGTAGCCCTGGACAAGAGCAAATCAAAGAACAATTGTAATGCATATGTGGAAAAGCTATTAAGACTATCTGGCGCTGTTCCTAATTTAGAAACTGACCAGAGGGAAGACAGCCCGTCAGCATCACCCAACCACCCATCATCTAGACTAGGGAATTAATTATCATCAGTACAATGCACCCACAGCTTAAAATTTGGGGAATATATTGTTGTATCGCACGGATTCGAACCCGGCTCGCCACCCCAGAGCTATACTATACCATGGTGCCCTCGAAGAAAAAGACAAGGTATCATAATTTTGAAAGAAAAAAAACATCAGCTTCACATCATGATGAACGAACCAGAAGCACACGAGTGACATATATTCTTTAAACACCTAACGTGGTTCAACGCTGGCTCAGGAGTAAGCCGTATGACGCTAAAATTTAGGTTTCGAGCCCCGTGACGTACCCTAAGCAGATAGCTCATTGTATAGCTAGATTTGCACTTAAAAAAATAAATATAACAAGGTTTTATTGGAGGTGAGTAAAGGACAATCGAAACCCTATACAACTGTTACGAAGATATTTACAATGTAACCAGTTTCTTGTATTTTAACAACCGTACTTCAAGATTTATACTTCAAGGTTTTATTGGAGGTGAGTAAAGGACAATCGAAACCCTATACAACTGTTACGAAGATATTTACAATGTAACCAGTTTATTGTATTTTAACAACCGTACTTCAAGATTTATACTGTAGCAATGAATTTGATTTTGATATCCCGTTAAAATCACTAGGTGGAGAGCGCGCAAAGCGTCTTCAGAAGGTCAAAGTTCCTGTAATGGATGTCACACAGTGTCAGAATTGGTACCACGAGGCGGGAAAGTTGGTCACTTTACAGAGTGGACAAATGTGTGCAGGTTTTAAAAACGGAGGCCAGGACTCTTGTCAGGTAAGAACGCGTGTTCAGGTATGTTACACGAAACGTTGCTGCTGTTAGCTAAAGTTTGAAGTTTGTTCAAAGTTGAGTTGCAATGAGTTAAACACAACTTTTGCGGCCTTGATGTATTTGGATTTTTTTACTCCGAATGGCACTTTGTACTACACGGGCTAAACGGACGAGTCAGAGACCCCAAGGTTCAAGCATTTCAGGCATAGCCATCCCTAATTCAGTATTTCTGGACAGAAAAAGGACGAGTCAATAAAACTATCCGCTTACACTGTTGCTCTTAACCGAACAACGGACTTGATTGCTACTTTTATAACACATTCACAGCTAATAGGCGATGCATGTTCAATGGCATATCGCGGGATCGAACCTGGAACCTTCCGACCCACAGCCCGGCATGCTAAATACTTAGCCACACCCGGTCGACTGCTGCTACTTCACAAATACAAGTTGAAAAGGATCTCACCTTCTTTTATTCTTGTTTTGTTTTTACTAATTTTGAACTACTGGCCAGAGGGAATACAGCTAGTCAACAGCTTCCTACCGCCCACAATCCACGCTTCAAGGATTAACTATCACTCATATAAAGCACTCACTGCATGAAGTGGGGGAAATATTTTATGGTTTCGCACGGATCCAATCCCGGCCATCTACTACAGAGCTCTACCACAGGACCGCGCTCCAGTTTTATAAGAGATATTTTGTGTTACTTTCTAGTCTGTTAGTGCTAATAGATGCCGTCTTTTGTAACTTTTAACAAACGTCTTGAATCGAAATAGTAATTTTTGATAAAGAGGCACAAATTGAGTAATTATTCTTTTTTAAACATCACATATCAAGATCATGTATTGTATTTTTTAATTTAATAAAGTACAACTTTTTGATAAGGTAAGTACTTAAAACATTTCAATTTTCTTTTTTATAGGGTGATTCTGGTGGCCCTCTGCTGGTTAAAGAAGGAGATAAGTTTGTGATCATAGGAGTCGTATCAGCCGGAATTGGCTGTGCTAAGCCTTTACTTCCGGGTCTATATACACAAGTCAGTTCTTACATAGCCTGGATATTACAGTATATAAATAACGCCCAAGAACACTCATTATCCCAATAATTAAGAACATTTTGAAGGCATAAAAACACCGGTACAGATTTGAAGATTACTGTACTGCCTCCGATATACAAAGTGCTTCTCGAAAAGTCACGTGAGAAGCAGCTGAAAAGGCGGTAACTTTTAAGTCGTTCATTAACTTTGTCATTGAATATTTAAAAACGGTGAACATTTTTTTTTCACGTATTTAATATAACATGAACTGAAACCTGAAGCTATTGGTTTTCCAACTACAAGATTGAGGAAAAAACAAACAAACAGAGAAAATAAAAATGAAATCTTTCCAAATATAATATAACTATATAATGGAAATAACAAGTTATGTGTTCTTGTTTTGTTTCGTGTCATTTTTTTGCTGAAAACTAACAACTCTGTTGATGGTACTACTGCATACTTTTAAAACATCTTTCTTGGCTTAAGACATTGAAATTTGGATCTTAAGTTTAAATGAATGAAATGTAAAACACAGGTACGTAGATAATATAAGGTTTCTTATAGTTCATTGTAGAGAAATTGGGTGAAATATTCTAGAACGCTGTGGTATTCGGAGAATTTGGGTGAAATATTCTAGAACGCTGTGGTATTCGGAGAATTTGGGTGAAATATTCTAGAACGCTGTAGTATTCGGAGAATTTGGGTGAAATAAATACCACAGTATTTTAAATTATTTCACCCAAATTTTCCAAGTACTACAATATTTTAGTTTATTTGTGATACTTATATGTAATCAAATCTTATAGAGTATTCCAGACAGTGTATATCAACCATAGGTGATATTTTCAAGGGGAGTATTTCCCCCGCACATTTTCAAGGATAGAATACCCTCATGCATACCCCAGCAATAGAAACTTTTCAAACCAAAGTTGAAACACTGATTTCAACAGAAACATGACTCATAGCCTGCATTTCTCCATCATTTCCATCCGTTAGAAGCCATCTCCAGACAACTTATTTGAATACCGTAAAATACAAACTCATATTTAGCTAAACGAAATAAGTTTAGTCAAGCTCCAGATATCCAGGGTAAAATTTGTAGGGTTTTACTTTAGGCTAATTAAACAGCAACAACAACATGGATCGGAACCTTCGGCTAATTAAACAGCAACAACAACATGGATCGGAACCTTCAACTAATTAAACAGCAACAACACCATGGATCGGAACCTTCAGCTAACTAAATAGTTACAATACCTTGGATCGGAACCTTCGGTTAATTAAACAGCAACAATACCATGGATCGGAACCTTTGGCTAATTAAACAGCAACAACACCATGGATCGGAACCTTTGGCTAATTAAACAGTATCAATACCTTGGATCGGAACCTTTGGCTAACTAAATAGTTACAATACCTTAGATCTGAACCTTCGGTTAATTAAACAGTAACAATACCTTGGATCGGAACCTTTTGCTAATTAAACAGTAACAATACCTTGGATCGGAACCTTTAACTGTTTAATTAGCCCAAAGATTCGATCCAAGGTAATGTTACTGTTTAATTAGCCCAAAGATTCAATCCAAGGTATTGTAACTGTTTAATTAGCCCAAAGATTCGATCCAAGGTAATGTTACTGTTTAACTAACCGAAGGTTCCGATCCAAGGTATTGTTACTGTTTAATTAGCCCAAAGATTCGATCCAAGGTATTGTAACTGTTTAATTAGCCCAAAGATTCGATCCAAGGTATTGTAACTGTTTAATTAGCCCAAAGATTCGATCCAAAGTATTGTTACTGTTTAATTAGCAATACCTTGGATCGAATCTTTGGGCTAATTAAACAGTTACAATACCTTAGCTACGATTCTTGGGTCCATCACCTTGGACAAACAATACATAAATTGATTTCAATTATTTTTGCACTATTTTCTTGACTATACCAGTTGTACAGTTCATTTTGCTCTATCCTGTAAAATAATGTAATCTGCTTATAATTAGCTGAAATAATGCTAAGAACTGAACGCTTCGCTGTATAATTTTAGGCTATTTAAAGAGATACACGTTTAATGAACAATATTTGCAAGTTCATCGTTTAAAAGAGATGAGCGCAGTAATAAGGTCGAGGCGTGAATGAGATCAGATTCAATGAGGAAAAAAATGTGTTATTACGCCACATTCAAATACAGCGGGTTACAACAACAACAACAAAAAAAACGAAAAATATAAACCACAATTCACGTATTTGTTTCCCCTCCTCCAAAATACCCGTTTTCATCAGCATTATTTGGCCTATCGATGTTCAACGCTTCCCAAATTTTCGGCATTTAGAAGTTTAACTAAAATAAAAGTTTTGTTTTTCCAAATGGTATTAAACATAAATCGTTTTTCAGTAAGCAGAATAACAAGTCCCACGTGGTTGCTCTCAGTCTGTGAGTTACGTCAATGTATGGTTATTTCAAACTTAATAACCTGTTTTAATGCTAAGTCTTTATGTAGATATTTTCCTGCCTGTAACTCTTTTTTTTTTTATCTGTACCCCGGAGTACGGATACTACCGTGACAATAAGCTCGTAAAATCTCGTTCAAAAATTTTTTAACACTATACGTATATATATAGGAACTCGCAAGTAAAACTAATCCCCAATTTTTCAAACTTCAGATAGAAATTTTACAGTATTCAATAAATCCGTTATTTTTTCCGCAGAACACACAAGTCGTATATATATATATATATATATAACTCTTTGAAAATGGTTGCCAAAATCCACAAATCCTGTAATTATAAAAGTCTGTAGAAATAGTGCAAACGACGGGGATTGTTATGTTGATGGGATGTACCTTTGTTGTTAACATATGTTGTTGTTATGTTGATGGGATGTACCTTTGTTGTTAACATATGGTGTTATGTTGATGGGATGTACCTTTGTTGTTAACATATGGTGTTATGTTGATGGGATGTACCTTTGTTGTTAACATATGTTGTTGTTATGTTGATGGGATGTACCTTTGTTGTTAACATATGCTGTTGTTATGTTGATGGGATGTACCTTTGTTGTTAACATATGTTGTTGTTATGTTGATGGGATGTACCTTTGTTGTTAACATATGCTGTAGTTATGTTGATGGGATGTACCTTTGTTGTTAACATATGTTGTTGTTATGTTGATGGGATGTGCCTTGTTTATTTATATGTTAGTATCGCTGTTAACAAAGAGTTTGTTGCTACGTGAAGTCGGCCTTGTTTATTTATATGTTAGTATCGCTGTTAACAAAGAGTTTGTTGCTACGTGAAGTCGGCCTTGTTTATTTATATGTTAGTATTGTTCTGTTTCCTATGTTTCTTTATTGTTTATTTTTTGAGAAATGTTTAGGAACAATTAGAACTTGTTGAATTAGTCTTTCGTCTGTAGTAAATCTGTTAATGTACATTAAATATTTTATGCACCTTCGTTAAGGATCGTATTAAAGACTTTTCTGGCACATTTCCTTAGTTATATCTTGTCAGACAGAGTAACATAACACGAATTAAGACGACGTATAGCAGTGGAATTAATGAAAACCAATAAACAAACGTGTCGTGTATGACTGAAATTATGCATTCAGTTGTTTTTATTTTAAAATATCTTGATACAACAAAGGTGGCAGTAACACCTTTAACCTTAATATTTGTTATATTGTTTAAAACACGCTTATCACACACTACTGATTACATTGTTTAAAACACGCTTATCACACACTACTGATTACATTGTTTAAAACACGCTTATCACACACTACTGATTACA